CCTCACAGCACTCCAGGATGTGGCAGGCTGCAGACAGACAGGCTTGAGTGTTTCCCCCACACTCCTATTGCCCCTCTGGGCCTCCCTGAGCCCCTCTTCATGCTCCCCACAAGGGATCTCCTTCTCCAGCCTTCACCCCCCAATGCATCCCTCCTCCTCCACAAAGCTCCCAGGTGTGGGGGCCAGAGTCACCTCTCTGGTTGATGGGGTCCTTGGCAACGTAGGCGACATAGTCCGTGGTGTCCTGGGGGCACAGAGGGAGCTCAGGGCCCATGTCCTGCTGCTGCATGGGGAGTGGGGCTGGGGGCGCTGGGGAGAGGGGACATTTCGGCCCCAGCCCCACATCCTGACCCAGGGCCAGGCCGCCCTGCGCTTGGCTCAGCCATAGGACAGGCAGCCCCTGTCCCCAGCGCCCTGGGGGACCACAGCCAGGGGAGTGCTGAGGTCCGGGTGCCTCACCATGTCCCCACCGGAGGCGAAGGAGATGGACTGCATGTGGTGGTTAGCGATGATCTGTGTGGGCGACATGGCCCGGGGGGGCATTAGCACAGGGGCCACCAGCCCCCAGCTCACAGGCTGGGAGGCAGCAGGCCCACGTGCCCAGGAACACTGTCACCTGGCGCGTGGTGGGGATCATGAGGTTCAGCCCATCAACGGAGATGTTGACAGCGATGCTCATGCCAGCAAAGCGCAGGTTGCTCTTGCCCAGGATGGAGAACAGGGCTTTGTTAGGAGCCTGTTAGGGGAGAAGATGGTGGGGGTGATGCAGCCCATCAGGACCAGGCTTCCTGGGGTGAATGAGAAAAAGAGGGGTGCCCCAAGAGACCCCAGACCCACGCACTGGGCAGGCACCCTCAGTGCCCTGTCCCACAGCCTCAGCTTGCCCCAGGGAGGGACAAGCCGAGTGGAAACTTACCTTCTTCTTCCAGATGCCCTTCACACCCGGCACCGCCTCATACAGTCTGTTGATGGCTTCCCTGCAATGGCAGCCCCCGGTCTGGTCACTGCTCCAGACCCCTGGCTCTTCTCAGCTGCCTCCCCCCACACGCACGGCTCTGTGGGGTCGGGAGGCTTGAGCCCCCCCAGCCTCAGGTGCCGCAGCCTCCTCGCAGTGCTGCCCCACGTCACGGCCTGCAGTACGTAATCCCAGCAGGGGCCACCTCCCTTCTCCTCTTTCCACCCATTGATCTATGGCAGTGCCCTTCGTCTGTGTCCCCGCGTGCAGGGTGGCTCCTGTGGGGCAGGGCTCCCCCAGACCCACAGCTGTCTCTCCACAGGGCCCTGGAGAGGGGGAGCACTCAGGGCCACCGGGGGCTTTGGGTGGCACTGGGGGATGGGAGAGTGGGACTGTGGGGCCGTACCTGGTGACCTGTGTCCGAGTGTTGAAGTCGAGCGACCTCATGGAGCGCAGCACTTCGATGCACCCCATGTACTGCGGGGGGGACATGGCCAGAGCAGCCCAGGGCAGGCAGTGGAGAGGAGAGAGACTGGGTGTCGGTGAGAACGGCTCCTTCCACACCAGCTCCAGGGCTCACAGAGAGGCCTTTCGCCCCCCGCCCCAAAATGCCCCATCACATGCCCAGACCCCACGCTGAGACCCCACAAACTCATCTGTGTGCCACAGCTTGTGATGCCTCGTAGGGGTTCACTGTGGCAGGGTCCCGAGGCAGGTTGCCCGGCCCAGGAAGCCCCCGGCCCCCAGCCCCATCCCGGGACCTGCGTGTGTCAGGGGCGGCTGCCTCGGGCAGCCACGGGTAGGACTCGATCGGGGGCTCTGCCCGCAGCCGTCAGGAGGAGCGGCCGGACCCGCCGAGCCCCGCACACGCGCGGGGCCGGGGTCTCCGCGCCTTCCCGCGCCGCCGGGCTCCGGCGGGACTTACCCGGACGATGTAGGAGACGCCGGGCCCCAGCACCCGCTCGTCGGGGTGCAGCCAGCCCTGCGCCGGTTTGCGGATGAAGCTGCCCTTGCGGCTCCATTCGTCCCCGTCGGGCCGGGCCCCCGCCGCCGCCGCCACCGCCCCCCGCGCCCTCCCCGCCGCCCCCCGGGCCCGCCCGCCGGCCGGCAGCGCGC